GAAGAGAAGAGAAGAGAAGAGAAGAGAAGCGAAACGAAAAGGGGAATAGAGAGGCAGAAGATAGAGGTGGAGGCAAAGGATATTCGTGTGTAAGAGTAAGGCTCCGTGAACGAGCACACGCGGTATCCCCGCCGGTGGAACTGGTACTGGTAGAGAGAAAAGCGTAGGCGCGCGAGTATCCGCCGACCGATGACATCATCGGTGTTCTGCCTCGAGTCATTCTCTCTCAAGGCAGAAGCCTCGCTCACTCCTGAGAGAAACTCTTTGGAGAAGAGCTCTCCTACGAGCGGACGAGCTCGATTTTTCTTTGAACATCCCCGGGGCGGCTTCCGTTCGGCACGCTTCGCCGCCAGAATCAACCGAAATAACTTTCCTCCTCCTTCTCCTTCTCCTTCCTCCGTGACGCTGGTGCTTCCTACGCGTTTGCCATTCATCCTTTTCGCGAGACACGAGATCAAACGATCTGAAAGTTAAGCCGAGAAAACGTCAGAAAGAGAAATTATTATAGAAGAGCGGCCGTCGCAGCGACGTGAGACATTCCTTACGTATCTGGTCGTTCGGAGATTTCAACACTCGCGGACTCGCAACCGCAATGACGATTTCTCGGCAACGCGCGTTGTCCAACGTCGACGAGCAGCGAAGAGAGCAACGTTCACGATTTGAACGCAGAAAAATCTTTCATCTCGCGAGAAATCGAAGAAAAGAACACGTTCCGAATTGGATCGACCACACGATGTTACGAGGATGGTCGACTTTGAACGGAATAAAGCTGTTAACCTGCGGGATTAGCCTTTCAGATTCCTAATCGTATGGAAATGTGGAACGGTATCGCTTAGGAAACGTTAGGCCAGATTCTCTCGTCGTGAAACTATCGACGTGCTCGCTCGACGTCGAAGCTGTGTATCCCCACCCGCGAGCCAGATCTTTTTTCGAGACAGGTTTAACAGATCGATCGATCGTGTTCGAAGATAAGTTTTCAAGCGCGCCACGTACGAAACAGGAAACGTTAACCAGGGGAAGAGATCGTGAAAATAGAAGGACTCGAAGGATCTCTCTGGAACTTTTACCTGAGACGCGGTACGAATGGAACGATTTTACAAAGGTAAAAGACTAGGCTGGGTACAATTGAGGAAGTATCGAGCAGCGTCGCACGAGCAGGAAGTGCGAATATTCTCTGCGTTCTATTTATTTTTTAAATTCTCACCTCGTCGATTATTCTCAGATATTATCTCTGCTTAAACTGTACGCTCTATCTGGAAAGCGTATTCAGACACGTTGTACACTTTTGTACACGTTGTACAATATTGTGTCTCTGGATCAATTCAAACTTCTTCCATTAGTCTTCTAATATTTCTTAATAACTTATGCAGCTAATATTTCTTAATAACTTATGCAGCTAACAACTGTCTAACCTTTGTGTTGAAGGTTTCTCATTACCCATCCATAGTGAATGGAATACTGTTATCATGTTCAACAATGGGAATAGATTTCCGTTTAGGGATCCGTCTCTTTATTTGCGTTTACGAAAAATACGAAATCGCAAATATAAAGTAAATTCCATTCCTTCGAAATCGATTTTTAATCTATAAAATGCGCAGTTTCGCGCGCGGTAACGCGATTTTTTCATACAGCTGGCTCGATGGAAAAATCGAGAGAAACCGCAAGGGAAACGCGAAATATTTGCGGAAGGAATCGGCACAGAGAGAAGAGAAGAACGCGCGACAATGCGCAGCTCCGGACTATAAGAAAACACGGGAGCGTCGGGAACCTCTCTAAACTCGAAACCTGTGCCGGGGCCGTCACGAATAAGGGGCGAGACATCCATAAACTTACTTTGGACCTCGGGGCTCACGGGGGTTCTGGAGGTAGGTTTTTCTTTTTACCGAACCAGGCAGGTGCGAACCGATTTCTATAGTCTTCTCCCGGTAACGGCCGTTCTTCAGTACCAACGGTTCAAGCTTTACCGGCGGCTTCCGCCGAACAAATCTTCTCGAGTCCAATCAGGGAAAAACGTTTTTATCCCTCCGC